TCTCTCTCTCTCTCTCTCTCTCTCTCTCTCTCCCCCCCCGGGGCCCTTCCCTCCCTCTCTCTCAGCGGTTTTGTGCGTGAAGAGTTTCAGAGGTGCGTTCATACTCGTCCCCAAAACGAAGCAGGTGGGCTTGCCCGGCGTGCGCGAAGTGCTCTCTCTCTCTCTTACACACACACATACACACACACATAAAATGTGTGGGTTTGCCCGCCGTGCGTGAAGTGCTCTCTCCCTCGCTCTCACACACACACAAAAGAAAAAGTAAAAAAGAAAAAAAAAGGTGGCGTGCGTGAAGTGCACTCTCTCTCTCTCTCTCCCCCCTCCCCCCTCCCACCCATCCCCCTCCTTTCCTCCCTCCGTACGTCCATTCGTTTAAGCCTGCAACTTCATTTTTTGTGAGGGCTCCATGTTGCAAGTGGGACAGGATTTGTGCACGGCCGGTCTTGGAAGGAGTAGGCGGGGATCATGCCGTCAATGCGGAGAGGCAGGGGAAGAAGGAACAATAGGCGGGGGGGGTGTTGCCATCGAAATCTTGAGGGGCTGGATTAGTAGGAGAAGGACGAAGAGGGAGGGTGAGCATGCGGGATGAGGAGGATGAGAGGGTCAGGATTTTGTCGGTCAGGATGGGATACGACGACAGAGGAAGCAGAAGGAAAGTCACCGGATGATGGTGAAGCATGCAGTGCAAGGTAAGTTGGCCGGCTCTAAGGAGATTGTGGAGGAGGAAGACGTCGAGGTCGAGGAGGGAAGTCCCCGGGAGAGGAGGGGAAGGGGGAGGGGAGGGGTCGGCGGGGCGATCGAGGAGGCTCCCAATTTGTGAAGAAGGGAATGGGCCTGTCTCTTATACACATCTAGATGTGTATAAGAGACAGGGCCCGAGGTTTCCATATGAAGCGCGCCGCAAGCCTTCGAACTGCTTTTATAATGCCGCTTGCAAGCTCTCTCACCGTGGTGACAAACCACAGGATGGAAAAAAGGGCGACGCTGGCTACCAAGGCTCTTCCTACTA